TAAGATTCATTATGAATACCATTTTCTTATGAAACAAGGAATTGGAATTCAGTGGAACCATAGTTGTTTGTGATGTGTATTTTCACTTTCACACTTTTTTTCATGCTTTGGGTCGTTGTCCTGCTGGAAAATCCAAATATTTCCATAGAACACATGAGCAGATGGAAGTAAATGTCCCTCGAGAATACCTGTGTACCGCTCACTGTTCATATTCCCTTCAAATACACAGAGGGGCGTTGCCCCTAACACAGATATGCCACCCCAGACGTTAAATTTCGGACTGTACTTTGGGCGCTGATACAAAGGTTTTTCAGTTTGTTTGGTCCAGAATTTCAGTGTATTAGGAAACAGTCACACAGAACTTTCATCTGAGAAAATCACATTGTCCCAGTTAAAATGTCTATGCTGTAAGCACCAGTTCAACCTTCACTACTTTTGTTCAGGTTTCATGATCGGTGATGGAATTCCTTGACTTTTCTGCCAACCCATTGCATGCAGCTCAGTTCTAATTGTCTCCTTACAGACAGCCACAGTTCCTCTATCAATCATATCCAGTCTTAAGTTTTCTAAATTCCTTCGTTTGTTTTTAGAAACAAGATTCCAAGCCGCCTCCTGTCACCGACAGTCCATTTTCTGGGCCTACCTGCGCCTCCCTGGTGCTCAATGCCATATCCATTTGCAATATTTTTAAAACACGATAAACAGTGGACAAAGGATGCCTGTTCTACTTGAAATCACTTTAGCTGATCTTGTCCTTGTTATAATATTCTAAAATCAACTTCTTTTTCTCTAAATCATCCATACTGAGGATCACTGAAAATGTCGTCTGCTAGCAAGTAAACAAAGGAGGATAACTCTTCACAAACTAATGAAAAAGATAAACCAAGCACTTGATAGCTGGTCAAGGTTGTTTATACTAGAAATCCAATTAACATATTCCTAAAATTCTCAATAATTTCTGGTCATACTATAGATACATAACACTTTCCTGGGAAAGCACTGCTTACATACATATCCAGTGTAGTATATATACACGATGTCTCCTTACTTGTAAATAATATCGCCAAATTGGTATGGGTGAGTGAATGTAGTTTTACGCCGTTTTTAACAATATTACAGTCAAATCACGGCAGGGGACACCACAAATGGGCTTCACACATCGTGCCCATGTGGGGAATCGAGCCCGGGTTTTGGGCGTGACGAGCGAACGCTTTAACCACTAGGCTACCCCGCCGCACCCATATTGGTATGAAGTGTAAAAACAAACAGTCAGCTATGATCGCAGACATGTCAGATTGTTTGCTCCCGTATCTTAACGGAACTGTATTTGATTAAGTAGTCACGGGATACATTTCTTTCATCATATCAGTCGAACCAACCTTCTGGGTTGAATAAGTGTATTTGTATAATCTATTAAAATGCCAGCGTGTGTTCTAATCTCTGACGTCAGCTTTATCGAACAGGGAAGCTCGAACCTGCCAGAATACGCCTGTATGCCCACGTTTTTGGACAAGTTGTGTCTTGGTTGACAAGGTGCATCATATTAATGAAGTGCATTACAATGTCAAGTGCTTTATGTTGCCCATTCCCCAGCACCTAGAATATGGAAGCAGGTTAGGCTGGATGGTTGGTCTGTTGTTTAACTCAGCAATATTCCAGGTATATGGCGGCGATCTGTAAATAATCGAGTCTGAACTAGACAATCCAGTGATCAACATCATGAGCATCGATCTACGCAATTGAGATACGATGACATGTGTTACCCAATCCCGTTAGTCGCCTCTTACGACACGCATGGGTTGCTGAAGATCAATTCTAACCCGGGTCTTCACAGGTCGGAAGCATGTTAGGAATACACAATGCCTTACAGAATCTGAGCAATGTAGCGTGTATTCGGATTACTCTTCACAAGTTTTTGTAATAATCCCATAAGAGATTCGAACCCATACACTCGCACTGAGGCCCCAAATCGAAAGCGAGGTCAGCGATGATCATCCTCAGCCGACGAGGCTTCCTCAAAATATTTGTCCGACAACAGGTAGTCTATATCACGTATTTGTGTAAAATTGAATGTGTACAATGAGAAGGGGATTCCAATTATAACAAATGTTAAACTAAAAGTTGTTTTAAGCCACTTGTTACCAACGGTGGCACCGCGAAACCCTGGACAGAACTGAGATCTAAGGCTTCCCATGATCGCATATGATAGAAGGGGCGGTGGGATTGCCTAGTGGCTAAAGCGTTCGCTCGTCATGCCGAAGATCCAGGTTCGATTCCCCACATGGGTACAATGTGTGAAACACATTTCCGGTGTCCGCCGCCGTGATATTGCTGGAATATTGCTAAAAGTGGCGTAAAACCATACTCACTCACCTTATGATAGTAGGCTCGAATCCCAGATTCGTTCTTCCTGGATCCGCAGCATAACCGAGCCAGTTGGTTTCACAAGGCGGTAAGCCCTTCAAAGAGCTGCTTTACTTCGGGTTTCCTACCCACATACAACAGAGACACCGTGATATCCCTTACTCATACAACAGTGAAAAGACTGACATAAAGAAGCTATATAGATCTGTTTGATTGGCATTTTAGAAGTTGATGAGCAAAATGAAAGGTAGGACACCGTCCACACAGTATCCTACTGTCTTAGTTGTATACTGTATTTTGGAATGTCAGGTAAGTGAGTTTAGTTTTACGCCGCTTTTAGCAATATTCCAGCAATATCACGGCGGGGGGACATCAGAAAAGGGCTTCACACATTGTACCCAAGTGGGAAATCGAACCCGGGTCTCGGAGTGACTATTGAATGCCATGGAATGCCGGGTCCTCTTGTTTGCAACACAGATGCAGAGGCGGGCGGTATCCTCTGAAACAATATCTTGTGGGTTGTTTAGACTGTAGATCAAATCACATTCATCAGTTTATATCATATTTACATTAGAGCCCTGATTCCCATATTGCGACATATTGCAATAATTTAGGAGATATTGTAATGCATATTGTGATATATTGACTGGAAGGTATCTGCTGGATATTGCCCTGATTCTCATATTGCGATATATTGCAATAATTTTAAGAGATAATTAAATACTGGAAGGTTTCTGCCCCAAGTGCGTACTTCATACATTTATAACAGCTCTCTGTTTGCGACATCATCTTCTTAGTTGCTGAAACACAGTACTTTCAGGCTCCCCGTCCCCGTTGTACAGATAAATAAAATGCTATAGAACTTTAATGTGGAATGTTTAATTGGAGCGTTGCAACAAAGTTTTGCGAACTTAATGATAAACAAAAACATGATTTAGGTGAACTACTTGAGCTTAAAATCTCATGTGACCTCAAATAACTAAGAATCTTGACAAGAATGTCATTATATCGCCCAACAGAATTCATGTGACTTAGGGCTTTATGATAAATTGATAACATATGTCCCATTATGAAACAAACAGAAATAACAAAATAATGTGAATTGTGTAATGGTCACTCAGAGCCAGAGGCTCTACGGATAAGTCCGAATAAAACGTTTATCCAATTGATGCCACTTAATTCCTCCAAAATGTCACATATGAAACCATTTAAACCCATTTTGTTGATATGGAAATAAAGAAATTGACAATTCAAAGGGAGATAACTCTGTATGACCCAATATATTGCAGAATCTGAACCATATCACGATATTCGTATCGCGAGATACTGTACCGGTATATACCTGTTTACCGGTAATATTGCAACGCCCTAATTAACATCCACATTCATTTCAGTTTTGACTACAACTTATATCTCTAAGGTGGACATAAAACCGTGAACTTGCACCCAAAGGCGCCCTATTCTTACAACTCCGTCTAATTGTAATCTAGCGCTGGTGAACTTGTGAAGTTGCCATTTCGCAATGATGTAGCCATTTTAACTTCAACCCGCACTCTGTGGACGACACTACACAGTATAGAAAATCATTCACTTTATTGCCTGTAAATCAGAAGCAAAACACTTTTCAAAATATATAAGTGTTGTTGTTGAAAAATAATTCTAAAAATAAGTGTATAATTTCTCTGGTACGTCAGTATGTTCCCTATTGAGTCCACAGATAATCAGCTTAGTCTGCTCGACCCTATCATTACGCTACCGGCATTCTGGAAACCAGCCTATGTTTACAGCAATTCTAATCCTTAACCTATGTAATCTCCATTCATATACACGAAAACAAATAATTACGGATCATGATATCTTAGAATAATCTTAAACCTTCGCTGAAACTGACTGTAAGACCGTGCATAGAAAAAAGAAAACCAGGGCGGATCCAAAGGGGGTGGGGTGGAAGAATCCCCCAACCCTCTCCCCCGAAAACATTTTCCTTGAGGGGCATTTCCCCCTAACCTTTGGACTTGATGGGACTTTACATGATCTATGCACGCACGCATATGCACATGCACATGCACATGCACACGCACACGCACACGCACACACGCACACGCACACGCACACACACACACACACACCTTCTCCAAAATCTTGGATCCGCCCCTGAATACCCCAAACAACTGTGTGATTAAGAGTAAGGGATAAAGTACCTTTACACTCAGTTACCCCAACTGTTCGGTATCACTATGGCGGGATTCTAACATGTCTCAACGCTTCCTTCTATCATTCCTTCAAGGGGATTGAAGGGTCAGTTCGGACGTTGGTCACACGTACACCTCGCCCTTCAGAATGTCACATACGAAAACGGTACCAGATCACGTACACCGGTTCGACCAATCAAATTATAGACGTTGAAAGACCTCGAAAAATGATCACACCAAGGCGGTCCGAGATTTTTAAATATGGGCACCACATTGCCCCACGTCACGAGGCGACCAAAAATCATGAAAGATATTTGAAAAAGTAGTGAGTGAGTACCACGGCAACCCAACAATCCAGATACAAAGGCGTGGCCCAAACCTTCCGGCTTGCTCCCTATAAATACAAAGACAAAAGACTCTCGCACATATCAGCTGGGAAGCTCGCACATATCACACTCCGTTTACAAGCGGCCGACTAAACTACTAACGATGACCGATGTTCAAAACGTGGCCGATTTTGTCAATACCAACGGCTACATAAGCGGCTTGTCCGTTCTCAACGAAGAAGAGACGTTGGAGTTGAGGAAGAATTTCAACGATTTTGAAAAAAATATTGGTAAGTTTTTGTCATTTTTATCGGGTGGTATTCGGCTTTGTACGTTCCTGCGAGGCTGCGGTTTAAGCAATATTCCACGAACACTGTACACGACGAAATGGCTTGATTTTAATCTGTGGAGGTTTTGTTTATTTGTTTGTCTGTTTGTTTGTTGTTTAACGCCGTGCTCAGCAATATTGCAGCTATATGGCCGCGATCTGTAAATAATCGAGTCTGGACCAGACAATCCAGTGATCAACAGTATGAGCATCGTTTGACGCAGTTGCGATACGATGACATGTGTCAACCAGTCAGCGAGCCGGACCACCCGATCCCGCTGGAAGCTGAAGACCAATTCTAACCCGGATCTTCACAGGTATATGTTGGGACTATGAGCCCGTGGATACACGGTACCCACCTGGCTATACAGAAATCCTATAAAGTGCCGAATGGCATTACCCGTATGATGGGTAGAGTGACGGGTATCCTAAGAGAGCCCATAAACCGGTCATCACAAAATATATACAAAATACAAATAAAATAGACATAGAAAAGTATCCAATAGTTCTAGATGAACATAGTTCGGGAAAACCGAATCATTGAGATTACATGTCACTATGTACTGAATAATCCCCACCTACCAACAGTAAAGAAAACAAACAAATTAATTTGAATTCATTACATGCACGTTATATGTTGTTTGTGCTGTGTTGTGCTGTGCTGTGCTGTTTAATTTGTCAACGTTCGAAACGTGTTCCCATTGCCCCGTCTGGTAGATATGGTACATGTAATATCTATATTTACATAGGGAAAGGATATTGTTCTCGGAAAAGGACATTACTAAATTTAAATGCTGAAAGTAAATTTTCATTGTCAGTCGTGTAAAGGTCAAAGTTGTTATGTCGGAAGAAGTAATTGTAAACAGTTGGAGTGTGCTGGGCTATTGAAACACTTCCTCAAAGACCGAAAAGCAATTTAGAAAATTTATGTTATTTAGAAGCATGTTGTTAGCTCTGTTTTATATTCAGTGGGTCAACTTGGGTTCATTCGACACACACGAGGACGAATCCACACAAGTGTGTAACCTGTGACGATCTGATGTGGCTGCAATTGAATGTATATTAGGATTGTAAACGCACTCACTCACTCACTCACTCACTCACTCACTCACTCACTCGCCTTAAGTGTAAGGACTTGAACGCTCTTGTGGTCAATGTAACACACATCCGATGCTCCATGTAGACAAGGCGGCGCGGTAACCTGATGGTACAAGTGTAGAGCCAAAGTCCCAGGGTCCATTCCCTCATTATATACAATGTGTGAAGCCCGATTCGGGAGTTTCCAGAACTGATGTAGCTGGAATGTTGCTACAAGCGACATAGAACCATGTCAAACTGTTTAGTATTGAATATGCGCTGTGCTATGGAACCCTCTCCCCCTTCACCTCAGATGGACTCCTGCCTAGACTACCATTAATCTGACCTAAAAACTCATCTGTTTTATAATTACCGGCAATTGTCCGTCTCTTTATTTGTATGCGCTTAGAGTATGCTGCGGCGTGGAGTTCAACATCATACGCCTGTTCCTTCAACTTCATGCTATGGTTTTGTATTGTGTCTGATATGAGGGTCGGGGCATTGGTGGATGTCTAAGGCGCATCGTGGGTCAGAATTTGGACCCTTACTCACCCTATTGATTGTTCCTGTCCAGGCAAGGAGAATGCCCAGTACAACCTCCACAACGTACACGTGGAACACCCCTGGGTGCTGAAGGTGGCTACAAAACCCTCCGTCCTCAAGCCACTGAAGGAGATCCTTGGTCCCAACCTCATACTCCTCGACTCCAGGTTTATCTGCAAATACCCCAACGAGGAGGTGCCCCAGAGCGACGGCTCTGAAGCATTCGTTGCTTGGCATCAGGATGTCAGGTGAGCTATATCCGACATAAATATTTTATCGGTAACTCCTACCAGTATTGTCCCCATTACTAAGTAATGGCATCAGGATGTCAGGTGAGCTATATCCGACATAAATATTTTATCGGTAACTCCTACCAGTATTGTCCCATTACTGAGTAATGGCATCAGGATGTCAGGCGAGCTATATCCGACATAAATATTTTATCGGTAACTCCTACCAGTATTGTCCCATTACTGAGTAATGGCATCAGGATGTCAGGTGAGCTATATCCGACATAAATATTTTATCGGTAACTCCTACCAGTATTGTCCCATTACTAAGTAATGGCATCAGGATGTCAGGTGAGCTATATCCGACATAAATATTTTATCGGTAACTCCTACCAGTATTGTCCCATTACTGAGTAATGGCATCAGGATGTCAGGGTGAGCTATATCCGACATAAATATTTTATCGGTAACTCCTACCAGTATTGTCCCATTACTAAGTAATGGCATCAGGATGTCAGGGTGAGCTATATCCGACATAAATATTTTATCGGTAACTCCTACCAGTATTGTCCCATTACTAAGTAATGGCATCAGGATGTCAGGTGAGCTATATCCGACATAAATATTTTATCGGTAACTCCTACCAGTATTGTCCCATTACTAAGTAATGGCATCAGGATGTCAGGTGAGCTATATCCGACATAAATATTTTATCGGTAACTCCTACCAGTATTGTCCCATTACTAAGTAATGGCATCAGGGATGTCAGGTGAGCTATATCCGACATAAATATTTTATCGGTAACTCCTACCAGTATTGTCCCATTACTAAGTAATGGCATCAGGATGTCAGGTGAGCTATATCCGACATAAATATTTTATCGGTAACTCCTACCAGTATTGTCCCATTACTAAGTAATGGCATCAGGATGTCAGGTGAGCTATATCCGACATAAATATTTTATCGGTAACTCCTACCAGTATTGTCCCATTACTAAGTAATGGCATCAGGATGTCAGGTGAGCTATATCCGACATAAATATTTTATCGGTAACTCCTACCAGTATTGTCCCATTACTAAGTAATGGCATCAGGATGTCAGGTGAGCTATATCCGACATAAATATTTTATCGGTAACTCCTACCAGTATTGTCCCATTACTGAGTAATGGCATCAGGATGTCAGGTGAGCTATATCCGACATAAATATTTTATCGGTAACTCCTACCAGTATTGTCCCATTACTAAGTAATGGCATCAGGATGTCAGGTGAGCTATATCCGACATAAATATTTTATCGGTAACTCCTACCCATATAAATATTTTATCGCTAACTCCTACCAGTATTGTCCCATTACTAAGTAATGGCATCAGGATGTCAGGTGAGCTATATCCGACATAAATATTTTATCGGTAACTCCTACCAGTATTGTCCCCATTACTAAGTAATGGCATCAGGATGTCAGGTGAGCTATATCCGACATAAATATTTTATCGGTAACTCCTACCAGTATTGTCCCATTACTAAGTAATGGCATCAGGATGTCAGGTGAGCTATATCCGACATAAATATTTTATCGGTAACTCCTACCAGTATTGTCCCATTACTAAGTAATGGCATCAGGATGTCAGGTGAGCTATATCCGACATAAATATTTTATCGGTAACTCCTACCAGTATTGTCCCATTACTAAGTAATGGCATCAGGATGTCAGGTGAGCTATATCCGACATAAATATTTTATCGGTAACTCCTACCAGTATTGTCCCCATTACTAAGTAATGGCATCAGGATGTCAGGTGAGCTATATCCGACATAAATATTTTATCGGTAACTCCTACCAGTATTGTCCCGAATTACTACGAAGTAATGGCATCAGGATGTCAGGTGAGCTATATCCGACATAAATATTTTATCGGTAACTCCTACCAGTATTGTCCCATTACTAAGTAATGGCATCAGGATGTCAGGAGAGCTAAAAATATTTTATCCATAACTCCTACCAGTATTGTCCCTATTACTGAGTAATGGCATCGGGATGTCAGATGAGCTATATCCGACATAAATATTTTATCGGTAACTCCTACCAGTATTGTCCCCATTACTGAGTAATGGCATCAGGATGTCAGGTGAGCTTTATCCGACATAAATATTTTATCGGTAACTCCTACCAGTATTGTCCCCATTACTGAGTAATGGCATCAGGATGTCAGGTGAGCTATATCCGACATAAATATTTTATCGGTAACTCCTACCAGTATTGTCCCCATTACTGAGTAATGGCATCAGGATGTCAGGTGAGCTATATCCGACATAAATATTTTATCGGTAACTCCTACCAGTATTGTCCCTATTACTGAGTAATGGCATCGGGATGTCAGGTGAGCTATATCCGACATAAATATTTTATCGGTAACTCCTACCAGTATTGTCCCCATTACTGAGTAATGGCATCGGGATGTCAGGAGAGCTAAAAATATTTTATCCATAACTCCTACCAGTATTGTCCCTATTACTGAGTAATGGCATCAGGATGTCAGGTGAGCTATATCCGACATAAATATTTTATCCATAACTCAATTACACACATGTTTTGGTGCATCATAGGCGGATCAAGAAGGGGATTGCAGGGGTGTGCAGGGGAGAATATATGAGAATATATATATGAATTCGAAAATGAACTATGTTACAATACGTTCTGCACATCCAATCCGTAGGTTTGTCTCACTCAACTAACTTCTGTCATAAACTCGAAATGATGTCATTATTAAAACCAAGTCTTCCTTTGCGTATGCGCAAACGCAGTCGGATGGAGAAAAAAGTCATCTGGTGGTTGACTGGACTCGGATCTCCGTCTATTATAGTCTGTATCTTAAAAGAAAAACGGCATTGTGTCATTGATTCTTTTACAGAAGAAAGTCACTTTCCTGACTGAATCTATGATTTTTCCAACAGTACGTCGTTGATCACACTGTAATATATCGCACAAGCTCGATGCCGTATAATGCTGACAAGTTGTTGACCCATGGATGACTATTGACCACTTGCAGGTACTGGGGCGTCGAAGGAGACGTTATCAGCGTGTGGCTGGCTGTTGATGACGCTGACGAGGAGAACGGCTGCATGATCGTCATTCCAGGTAGAGGCTGGTTAAACGTATTCTGTATGAAAATTGGAATATTAAAACTCCCAAGTAGATCTTTCAGTGTTACGTTACCATAACATAGTTTAAAAGGCTATCACACAAGTAATGATTATGACAGAAATTACTTCAATCCCGACCTCTAACCATACTTAACAGCCCATTGTTTGTTTTATGTTTGTTTTTGTTTTGTTAGTTTTTTTTGGTTTCTTTGCTTGTTTGTTTGGGTTTTGTTGTTGTTGTTGTTGTTGTTGTTTGTGTGTGTGTGTGTTTGGTTTTTGGGTTATTTTTTTGGGGGTGGGGTGGGGTGGGGGTGGGGTGCCAGTAATCATGACGTTTCTGCTTTTGTGCGACATCGTTCTTACCTTGAACACGCAATCTAATCTTATGAAACTGTTTACATCCGGTAAACATGTTTGGATATCCCTATTGTTACATCTTTCCACATGAAGGAAATGAGTGTTGGGTCAAACCAAGACCTCAGCATAAAAAGAAATGTTATCATTTGGAATCTGTACCTGAAGATATGTAAATACCCAATCAAAAGCAAGGTCCGCTGACTATATAACGTTTGTCCATTACACACACACAACTACTATAACTGTTTTTCATTCCCAGCAACACACAAGAGCGGAATCCTGCAGCATGACCAATCAGATGCCAAGGGTAACCTGCTCACCTCCAACCAGGAGATCCCTCCGCACTTGTACGACGAAACAAAGGCCGTTCCCTGTCCACTCAAAGCTGGCCAGATGTCCCTCCACCACGGCCACATCGTACACGGCAGCAGACCCAACAGATCAAACCGACGTCGCTGCGGCTTCGTCATCCGTTACATAGCAACCACAGCTTATCCAATCGTTGACGAAGCTCGTCCCCGGAAGTTCGCCACAACCGTGTTGCTTTCTGGGACTGACGAGCACAAGAATTTCGAGGACCATGCCCCTGCCTGGTTCGATTGGAGAGAATAAGATGTCAGCTACATTTCCTTGTGTTGGTGATAATGTGCTAAGATTTATGTATTTTGGTTGTGGTGTAATATTTCATCATAGCACCATAGCGCCTCAACCGTTCGTCAAAATTTTAGATTACAGTAATGTATTGGTGTGATCTATAGTTGGTTCATTGTCAAAAACATTACTGCGACTGTAAATGTCAAAATATTTTCATTCATGTAAGCAAATCATATACCAACCATTAATTTTCTGAACTGTTTGTCAGTGAAACACACAATGCCAAACAGACACATATTTATGCTCATTTTTTGACAAGCATATTCGTATCGTTCAAAGCTAAACCTTACATGTAATACCTAAAAAATATTATACATCCCTATCGAAAGTCGGATACTACTATAGTGGGGTTCAACCGTCCTCTCTCACCCAGTCGCTATGATGTCCTCGAGTTAAAATCAGATTTAACCAGTCACCACTGGAAGTAACCAACCAAATAAAAATAAAAAACTCTTTTCAGTCCAAAAGTCTTCTTGACATTTTCAGGAATGTTATCTAGCAGTCGACGTGGATTGGCTGCGATCCACAAACAAACACGATGATTCATATGTCAGCTCGACACAGAAATGGTTTACTGTAATTCAATGCTCATCTTCTGACTCGAATAGCAGCCATTGGACGGCTTCATCTAAAAAAATCATGAACTATTTTTATCGGAATGCTTAGGAAAAGAGGTGTCACATGAGTGTTTAATGTTTATTATTCATCAGTGTGTATGGAGAGTGAATGTGTCGTATATATGTGAATGCCCCAGTGAATGTGAACCATAAAGAGTGAATAGTCATAATGCGAATAACTATGTAAAAGGTGTATAACCGGACTGGGTTTTGTGTGTGCATGTCTGTGATGTATAGGAAACCGTACCAGGAAAAACCCGACTGTTTACATATGACGAGCCAATAGGACCTTTCCGTCGCCACAAACAATGTTATAATCACAACTATCAAGTATTTGAAATTATTGCACGAGTTGACAAATCCATATTTCTCTTCTTCTTTCTTTTTTAAATTTTTATTCCTGTAGACATATTATATGATCAAGATGTATTATCATATACATCTATTATATATATGCCATACCAAAACCCCATTTCTGATATATATTTACTTAGTGTAATGAAGTTCGAAACAAAAATATTTGGTTCCATTTTAAGAAATGAATTAATTAGTGTGGTTCTTTATACAAACTTCTTTGTATCATTGCTTGACAGAAACAACAGAAGTCGTGTGGCAAATTGTCAAAGTATCACTGAAATGTTTTTATTAATACAACACAGTTTTAAAAAGGCTTATAATTAATGCTGAAATTTGGTTTTGTCTTGCGTTCTCGAAACCAAGTGTATTGGTAGGTCGTGTTATTTTCTGTTGATAAGTTATTTTGTTAGTTACCTACAGAAAATTCCGTTAATAGAAGCCCTCTTATGGGAAAATGTGTATATACATGCACTGATGAATGCTTACCATTCACTTCATAAAGGGTAAGAAGAGGTTTGGCTTTTTCACATGTTAAAAATTGTTTGTTTAAAAAAATGTGATGGTAAAACAGCGTAATATAGAGAATCTAATATATGAAAGTACGTTATTCAGTGGGCAAGTTTGACAGGGTAACTGAATTTCCAAAGACAGCCAACGATGTTAATTGTTTACATAACATCAGTATTGTATGCTTCTATACCCTTTCATGACGTCATGGATGGTGTTTGTTCTTTGTATTGTTTTGTTTTCTGAAATAAATAAAACATTCTGTTTATATTTCTTGATTCATGTGTTCATCACGGGCAATCGGAGGAGACATTGCTTAAAGAGTTTCGATTCGCCTCCCAAAATATTGGACGTTTCAGATATCCATTGACATGCCATTGTAGCAATTGTGGAAATGAAAGCCAATTTTCAAGTTAAATGTGTGTAATAGGAGGATTGGCCATTCAGGCAGGTGACTTACATCCTCGTGGACACCAACTGCACTTCCCCACTTGGTAACCCGCTAACGCATATAAATTGTAATATCTGCTCGGACTGGCAAAGTAAACACAAGTGAATCAGGCCAAATTTAAGGAAATCTTCAGGTATATCGACAATGTGATATCGTTCCATAATGGTCAAACAGACAATTTCCACTCAACCTTTGTCGCATCAGTGACCACAATGATGGCCGATGCCTTTATCTACTTTGACCATTGGATGGGTAGGAAAACTGACGTTGAAGCTAACACATTGTATCATTAGAATTTTAATGTGATTCCGAAGCGCATGCTGATCAAAATCGTACAATGATCTGTGTTTGAGCAGAGCATCACGACCATGACCATGACGCAGAAGTCCTTGGTTCAACTTTTGTGAGTGATGAGATATTTTCCTTCCGTAAACCACCTGCTCATGGGACGAGCATTAGATTATGGTTATAAGTGTCTCTGTGCCAAGCTCGTGCTAGGAATTGGGTTCATAGGGCGTCGCATACTTCAGTGACCTGTTTGTTCGGGGTTCGAAATTTAGGTCAAAGTCTTGCCATTGTTTCTGAACTCGAGCTACGACTTGTGCCCCTCAAGTCAAAACAATGATTACACAACAGTCTCGTTTCCTGTTGACTGGGTTCCGTCCTATTGCGCAACTTAGTACAATAACCAGTCCAGATTTTTTAGACCAATTCATTTAACTGGATACATAAATATTAATCAGTAATATTTCATACATCTAAGCACTTGTATAGTGCAACACTACGCTCCTTATACTCCCTGCAAACTCGTCGTGCAGCGTGCTCTGTCGTACAGCGAGCACTGACAAACATAAACCTGGAAATCGTGGAAATCTCAAGACGAGGCTCTGCCGCTAGAAAAGTTTGGCGGTCTGGTACGGACTTGATATTATATCAACCGCATTGTGCGTTACAGAACTACCCTGAATAAGCGCAAAAAACACATAACAGGTGTAACCAGTGAGTCAAATGCATTGTGAATCATTTTACGACCTCATCAAACTGGGGCAGTCTGTGACGTCTTAGTTAAGTTCATGCTGCACACACCCGCCATATAGAAATACGATGTTATTAAAGTTTAAAATTAAAATTCATTTGTAAATGTAAAATTCATTTTCTTATGAAACAGGGAATTCGAATTCAGTGTAACCATAGTTGTTTGTAATGTCTATTTTCACTTTCACACGAGAAAATTCGGATCGGCTGAAAAGTAGTTCATTGTCTGAATAGGTTCATGAGACTCATGTTTCGGTTTGATACGTCGCATATCAATACTGTGGACGATAGTGGAATACACGAAATACATGGCTGTCAGACTGACATAATAACGAACCGTTCATCATTTATGGCAGGGCGGTTATGATGATTTTATGGAGAAGCACGTACAATGTGAATCACACACACACACACACACACACACCCCTCCCTAAAAATTATGTACAACGTAAGAGTGACCCCTCCTGCAATATCATGTACAAAATCATAGAATCACACACACACACACACACACACACACTCTCTCTCTCTCTCTCTCTCACACACACACACACACACACACACACCAATTAGTTTTAAGCATAATTCTTAAATATTTTTATGTACAAAATTGCCGAGCCCCTAGTACATGTATACAAATTTGATGACCATCCCGCCTATCTCCCCAGAACAATGGGTGACCCCTCTTAGGATCATCATCAAAACATCCACCACTACCCCTAGCCATAAATTACGAACGGTCCTGAAAAAGCACTTACAGCCGCGACCAGGGCCACGTTCCTCAAAGCGATCGTAGCGCTACGACAGTCGTAAGTCCCATGTTAAAGTGTGGGAGTTACGATCATCTTAGGGTCACGATCGCTTTGAGGAACGAGACCCTCAGAACAATGAATCTGCTGTCCTGTCTGAGTGAGTGCAGGCGGCACCTTGTAACTATTTCACTCTCTGCGCCAAGATCTCCTGACTGACACCGCTTACTTCCGCATTGGTCAGTGTCACGCCCACCTTGGTGGGAAACCGAGCTTATGATTATGAGTCACAGTGCTATTTATTCCTCCGTTTGTCTTTGTTGATGTTATGTTTTCATGACTCATAATTTTATAGAATTTTCTCAATGAAGAAGAGAGATTAGTTACGTTTGCCAGTATCGAATAACGTTTCTGAATCATATTTAGACCTGTGTTGTTTTTCTTATCTGCTTTATATATTGCATTTAACAGCCGTCAATATGGGTTGCAGAATGACTAACAAACAAGTCTTTATCAAAGTAAAAATGTAAAATGTGCAATTAGCCCAGTAAATATTAGGGGCGGTTCCATGGGTTTTTCAAATAAGCTTCAGTTTAGGAATGAGTGTGTCCGACCCCAAAAAACATCACAAGCGGTATGAAGATCATCATGAATTATACTGTACGACCACATCTATGTGTTAACATGTATATTGCATGGTAGGCCAAATGTAAGAAAGTGCCCTCCTCAGATTCACTCAGCCCACGAGGATAAAACCGATTAGTGAACAAGAAGAGGGCCAGTAAATATCACTTATTAAATTACAAAATTTCACTGTTCAAATTAGTATTTCTTTGAAAGAGGGATAGTTTTCTCTGTCAACCGATTAGTTTAGCCAACTATACTAGTCAATCTAATAGTAGTCATTCTGTCTCTCTGGATCACTGTATTTTGTCTGTCTGTCTTTCTGGTTGTATATCTGTCTGGCTGTTTGATCTGCTATATGTCTGTCTGGCTGGCTGATCGGCTATACGTCTGCCTCTACGATGTCCGATGTCAGTCTGTCTTCCTTACGTTTGTTTGTACGTGTTTCTGTTTGCCTGAACTACCAGTGGTGAAAATACTTACTCACGAAATTGCACGGGTTCTGTGTAAAGGGAGACTACTCCGATTTCTGGTGACTAAATAAACAAAATAAACCAATACACGTATGCTAACATTTAAATGTTACGTTTTGTACTTATTTTATTTTTCTAAAATTACACATTTAAATAATATATATCAGGAAATGGATATCTCTCACTGAGAAAATATCATTAAAAATGAAATACTATTGCGCAGTTAACCTTTGTTTACATTCGTTGCACGGCTCCACGTGCTTGAGCTCTCATCGAAGCCTTGTGTAATGTGGAGCAATTTGATCATTTTGATGTGCACAGCATTTAAAGACTCCCACTACGCAGGTCTGTTGTAATTTCAGAAAAACGTACTTGTTCAGAAATAAAGAGAAAATCCCATCACGTGATTTGCAAACTGACTCGTTACGAAATGTTACGAAATTTCGTACTACAACTGTTGAGAGCGGCTATATGCCAACTTCGTTCCCATCCGGACTTCCGGGCACTTCCTAATCTGGACGATTTTACACGGAACGGTAATAGGATTTCACAGTGTGATTTTCTGGTAAATATTTATTCTAACATTAAATCAATAATTTCTTCGTATTTAATAACCGAATATACGATTAACTGCTGATTCATGGCACGTATCATTGCAAACAATCTACAGCCTGTTCATGTTCCAAACTCGTGGGAAGGTTGCATAGATGGGATGCTCCTTTAAATGTATTACGGTGTATGTTAATTAAGACTTTTGTCTCGTTCCGCAATCTGTGAATACTGTTGTGAAAACAAAACAAAGACTACATGACCCTGTTCAACATTCTTAAATATTGACCTCAATTCATGTTAATGGAATGGTTTGTTTGTTTAACGACGACATGCCTCAATCAAGGTTGAGCATTCGGTTCCGTTAGTCGCCTCATACGACAAGCACCTGTTGCGTTAGACCAATTCCAACCCGGATCCTAATCCACTGATATTATAAAAAAAACATGGTTTGGTACTCCACTAAATCACATCATCATTGCTGCGAAGAGACATATCCACATTTGCAGTATTAAAAACATGCCTCCAAATCGAACTTTATACATAAAACTCTAAAAGAAATATTCTTTGTGGAAAATCATATATCAACAAACAAAAAATACAATAAATAATTTCAATCACAAATAGAGCCTTCTCTCCCCAGTACTTAGATGACTCTAAAGTGTATCGATTTGTACCTGACATTATCTATACATTATCTAATTAATTATTTATGCATGTTTATGAATATATTATTATATTGATATCTTACATGTACATCATGTAGCTGTATTACTTTAAGCCGTATGTATCACGGCTTTGTATGTCTGTGATATTATAATCTTGGGAACCAATGAAAAAAAATACAAAATACAAAAAAAAATCTAATCCGGATCTTCACGGGTCACAAAGGAAGGAAATGTATTACAGAAACAACACATTACATGCACAGGTTTATAACACCAGGTTGCCTGCGTATAGATCTCTGTATAGTCTCCCCGATAGAACGTTCCTGGATTGAAGTTTCGATTTGATTAAGCATACCAATTACATGGAAAGAGCCAATGTATACAGAGTGAATTGTCGCTAAGCAAAAACATTTGAATTTGAAAAACACTCCCTCACAGAAACTTCCCTTGTGTCCCGATACCATCTCTTGTAAGTACACATTATAAATTTATATATATCTATATAATGTCTCATTACATTAAATCTGACGGCATGTTCTGGAGAAATGAAATTTAAAGTTCTAAAGAGCACTGGTTATAACCGGTTGAACAAAATAAGCATTGTAAATCTCATGACTATTACTTTAGTTATTCTTCGTGCCTCGTTTAACTTTACGTGTGTTAAAATCCACAAAGAACATGAGATAGATGGCTCAATAAGGGCACACAAATCCTAGTTCGTTCCCTGGAAAAGCCTTTAAGTAGAGATTTTTCCAGGTCCCTTCGTTTTGGGGCTGTTGTTTTTAACATGGTAATTTATCCTGACTATGAGCAGAATGTTCAAGAAGGTGGCATTTGGTGCGGAACTGTGTTGGTGTGTTTGTGATATTTGATACGGAACTGTGGTGGTATTTTTGTGGCGTTTGGTGCGGAACTGGTTTAGTGCCTTTGTGGCATTTGGTGCGGAACTGGCTTGGCGTGTTTGAGACATTTGGTGCGGAACTGTGGTGGTATTTTTGTGGCATTTGGTGCGGAACTGGTTTAGTGCCTTTGTGGCATTTGGTGCGGAACTGGTTTGGCGTGTTTGTGATATTTGGTGCGGAGCTGGGTCGGTTTGTTCAGCTCCTTGCCACTTTGTTAAATTATTCATTCATTCATGGCTGTTTATACATATACGTTTGTCGACTGTTGACTCTGTAATAATTATTTTAATGAATGACACGTTTCTATTGACGACGCCGAAGACCTGGGTTCGATTCCCCACATGGGCACAATGTGTGATATAACGCTAAAAGCGGCGTAAAACTAAACTCAGTCAGTCAGTCAGTCTATTGACGACAATGGTAAAACATTGGCCCGTGTGTATCCTACGTCTTCAGGCATGCTGTAGGGAAGGGAAGTAACTCTACCCACCTTGTCGCTCAACGTGTTGATTTTCATCCGTTACATGGTCGCATGAGTCCGACACGGTCCTGGATTCGATGTGCCGTGTGTGCCAGGAACCTGTGGTAGCGGGTTCGAACCCCAGAGTTTTCCCGACTATTGTCATTAGATTTATAACGAGTACTGACCTGCTGCTTATAACGAGTCAGTCGTTACTACACCGCTGGGAACACCTGCTTTCGCCTCCAAATATGGCAGACATGCTTTTGTTTCTGACAGACATGTACTTTAACACTGTGAGTATAATGTATAACTGAACGAAATGAGTTCTTCTCCACCCTCAATGACAAACTGAATGTTTAAAGTTATGTTCAAATTGAACTTTTGGATGAAAATGAGATGCTTGCACTATTTTGGGGTTGAGCACAAACATTGTAAGCCAAACTAGCCGGGAAAGTGTATCATTATTAATTATTCTATGTCCTTCATCTGACAAATACATCTGACCATCCACTCTGTTCATCTGCTGTGCAGCTATAGCTGTCGTTTGTTTACATAGGTGATATAGAATATATACTTAGAAAAAGTTTGTGTTACTTTGCCTCATATATTTATGTACATACTGACATCATGTATTTGCTCTGAGTAACATCAGGGATATTGTAAATCTTAGGTTAGTTCTGGAGGAAATTCATTCATTCATTCATTCATTCATTCATATACTGTCAGCAAACGTCATCACGGTAGAGGGGCGGTGGGGTAACCTAGTGGTTAAAGTGTTCGCTTGTCACGTTGAAGACCACCGGGTTCGATTCCTCACATGGGTACAATGTGTGAAGCCCATTTCGTGTGTCCCCCGCCATGAAATTACTGGAATATTGCTAAAGGCGGCGTAAAACTATACTCACTCACTCTCTCATTATGGTAGGCGGAGTCGTGATTAACAGTAACAATTTCTTTTTTTGAATATGTTTCTTAGTTTGTCTGCCCCATACCTGTGCTCAAATGCATCATAAAAGATATGCATCACTTTGAACTTCCTTGTCACACCAAACAGCTGACAATACGAAGCTGATAATACGAACTGACAGCAATTTATAAACTACCTTCGTCATATCCATCGCTGTCTGAGAGAGTATGGTATTACGACGCTTTCAGCAACATCATGTTTACACCAGAAATGGATTTCACATGTTGCCAATTGTTGGGAATCAAACCCGTGCCTTAGGCGTGATGAGCGACCTCTGTAACCTCCAAGCTCCCCGACTACCCTGATTTAGAACACTTACATACACTAACACATTGCCAATGCATTTTCAAAAGCAACAGCTAAGTATAAGCCCAGTCGATGCCTGTAGAAAACAGAATCTAATACATGGTAGTAGATCGATAGATATATAGGGATATGTTCCACGCTGTGCCTTTAGCACAACGATTGAATTTCATATACGTCATCTTCTATGCTATATGTAGTTTCATTACCAGTGTAATTAGCCTGCGTTTCATACAACCTCAAATGGTAAGGTTATAGATATTTTGATATACTTAATATATGCTCCGAGTTGACGCTTACTGTGTCCATCCATATATAGCTCTAAGTACGACCAACTTTAGACTCGCAGCCCGAGGTTTGGAGAAATCTTATAAAAAGCGTGCATACACAAGAAAACAACTGATTATCACGTGCCTGTCCAGATGTAACTGTCCACAAACCAGTACCAATGTCCCTTACAGCACTAAGTGAAGTGTTGTGACATTCCAAGTGAAATATTGATGTTTTGGGGTCAGAAATAGACTTTACACTGGCGTTTCCCACTGGATATCGATTCCCTCCCACACACGTGGGTGCTGTACAAATAATGGGCTGTGCCGATCTGCTAATCAATTTCACTGACCGCTCGGCAACCTGACTTGACTTCAGGGGGTTTCACGTGCTTGTAGTTCACTGTGATAGTGCAAGCTACACAATCAATGCTCATTTCGCGTAAGATAGTCTGGCCCATTAACTAATTAATTGCATGTGATTTGCATTCCAATTCCAAAACTCATTACAGCCCACTGTTTTTTTTAAAGTACGGTGCTTGTACGTGTGATTTGGTATCCGTGGAATTGATGGATTCCTCGACGATTAATAGCTTATTTCGTTGCCCTGGCGACCAACTGAATCCACGTCCTGGGATCAAGGACGAAGTAATTATACGTGCACTTTGTAGTTCTTCTGGGATCAAGCTTGTAAATTGTCTTTGAAACACTGGTTATCACGATAAATATATGTCTTAAATCCGTACTTATATTATCATGTTTACTTATGTTTTGTGAATTTGGTATAAAATATCAGATATTAAGTCAAAGACAGCTTTGTTCGTGAAGCCTGTTCTTTTCTAATTAAATACATACTTATAAATATTTAACTGGGTTCAGTATATATTTTGTAATGTTGCTATTTCTATCATTTTATGTTGTTTTACATGTATACTAAAGCAAAAAGAAATGCATTTAGGCGGATTCAGATTAGAAGGGCCTTACCAAACCCTGATCACGCCTAAAACAACTTTCGTGAGCAAAGTAATGTTCACACGCTATTGGAAAGACTGTGTACAATGTTTTATGCAAACTGCTTTCATCCGATCTTCATCAGACAATCACAGTATCAGACACGCAGCTGCAGTCAACGTCACGCAGCCTTCATCAAATACTCGTTTCCAATGAGAAACGTTATTTTCGGAGTTTCCGTCTCTCTAGGACTGAATGCTCCATGGCCGGTATTCAGTGCGGGGTAGCCGGAAGTGCGAGGACGATCGGTCTGGCAACAAAATCGTTGAGAAACACAAGCGAGTATTGATACATCCTACGGATAAATGTCACCTGATATAGTTAAACGATTTTCAATGAAAACGAAATATATTAACATTGCCAACAGTTTATTACAGACTTGAACATGCACAAATCAACTAGGATGTCCTCCCCCACAACGTGACCTTGACCTGCCGGAAACACGAGAACGAGGCTTAATGTGTTCAACAATGAAGCCGAAACTAAACTTAGTTTATTCATTGTTGAATGTTAAAAACTTTTTGAAGCCTACCTGATCTGGAAAGAAACACAGCAAGTGGGAATGATCGCTATTTTTCGGGCGAGTTTTTTTTCAAGGTATACCTAAATCGGTTGGTCTTCCGTGTCTATTAACTCACAATTCAATGTTAAAGAGATAAATACATTATGTATCCTTTTCTTATACTTCATCATTAGTGTGATCGAAGTTTCAAATTAGCATTTCCATTTCTCGAAAGCTGACCCATTCATAAATTATACAGACAGGAAAACACTACAGAAACCGGTTTTAACAGAATCGTTCCGTGTTTCCAGCATATCTGGACTAGATTTACGCACACGCACATACACACAACGCACGTCACTGTACGGAGCACTGGGACAAGACTTCAAAATATAGTTAACATTCTGACAGACCTCAGCAGTGTCAACATGGGGATGAGTTTCAGATTCAACATGATGCATGAAGAGACAACGCATGTGTCGAACGGTATAAAACAATACGTACATTGTTCGTGGCATACGTTTGTAAAGGATTAACGTGGTTTGACAGACACTGCACGATGTGTGCATATTTTGTTCGTTATATACAACTGCTCGACACAACCGTACTTCATATAATATACGAATAAACCAGGAAATATGGAAAATCAATTACGTATGACAGTTTATCAATTAGACATATCTGTGATCGTTGTTTATGCGTTATTTAGAAAGACACTGTCAACGATTTTGATTACATATTAAGGCCTAATCTTATCTAATACTAAACGTTTTTGTGAAGTACTTCTTTAAACAAAATGTTCTGCAAGATATTTCTATTTCCTGGTTCATTGAAATGTAGCGTGATACAATAGGATATCGAAATCAAATAATTTTGGCAACATCTACAAAAATAAATAAACATCTGATAACCCTTTTTTGACCAGATTAATAAATTCTAAATTCAGTTTTGAAGTTAATCCGAAATGGTTCATCTGGATTAGCACCAAAAGGGTTAAGCACTTTGGGAGACTTTTTACAATAGAGCGACCAGATCTGTTCCCTTGAAACTGTCGGATAGTCTAGTCTCGATATAAACAACTAACGGCAGGCTTGTTTTCCTTCTAAGCAAATTGTCCTGGTAGTTCTACCTAGGCCGAGCGCGGAATCGCTACCTAGGCCGAGCGCGGAATCGATAACGAGAGTTTCTTATGTGTGTGGGCGATATGATTATGTCACGAATTGTTTGACACTGACAATGATGATGGGCCGGACAGGAATGTCAATTTCATAATTCAGCTCTCCTTGATTTATTTATAACAGTAAATTTCGATCGAAGAACGTCATTAGCCAATTTCTATGAAAACCTTAAGGTGCCGGTCGTTTCAAAAGAGCCTGTTTCTATGCTCATAAACAGAGATGCCAGAAAGTGTGATGTGATGTTTGACCTTCAAGACTGTCCTTGCTGATGGCAAAAAATGTGTTAGGACAACGATGTTGATTTCACGAATACACACGTGAGAACTACTAGCATGTTAATATATCCTGGTGGTACTGAGTTGCATGTAACGAAATATTAACTGATCAAAACAAACATTTACAATGACATATTGTGTATAGTAGTAACTCAGTCAGGTTTTGGAACATCGCATGAAGCCAAAATCTCATGTCGCCGTTACTCTCGCATAAGTCTCGCCATTTCTCATCACGTTCATTGGAACCCTATTTTCGTCACATGTAACAACACATGTATCCTCTGTGATGGTAACACAATCCAACTAAACACTATTCACCTGAGGCACTAGTATTCTAGTACCATGTCTGCTGGGCACCGAGGCACGTGGCATGTACTGTAAAGTGCTCTCCTTCTTCGTACCTATTTTGAATTACACCCTCTCGAATTCTTCACGGATATCAGTTCCTGACATCACAAACGCTTCCTGAACCAAACAATGATATTAACACAACATTTTGTCGTAGTCATCGAAGTCAAGGGAGATAATCCAGGTCGTTATCAAGACGTAGCCAGGAGTGGTCTCCCTTACGTTCAGTCCTTCACCGATTTGGTTCCCCCTTGTGTCATGACGGATTCCGGACTTCTGCGAGCAGGTTGGACGCTCCTGACCTTTGATGACGAAGGGATGGTCATTTCGATAGGACTGAGGGGCGTCTTCTCTCCATCCCTCAGTGGCACCTTGATCGCCTCATCCCGACCATCATCATCGCAGTAGTGAGACAGAAAGCTTGGGAAAAGGAGTGACATGGCCAGAGTTATCCCCCCTACACAGAACAAGATAAGGCCAATGAGTTTGCACATATCTAGTGTAGTATTGTAAGCTTCAGCACTTCGGTCTACGAATGCAATATCGTGGATTTCATCCACGCGTTCGAGGGGATGTTTAGGGGGAACCAGATAACCCACGAGGATCCCGATCACTCCAAACAGGAGTAGGTTGACGCCAACCCACATGAAGATCTTCCACCATATCGGAGGGCATCGTCGACGGCGGGGATACGGAGCTAGGAGATAGCGTAGGTCATCGTCGTCCTCGTAGATGATGGGATCTTTGTACACAGCGCTGGCGTCGTAGAAGTTGTGGAGGTAGGACTTCACGCCGAAATAATCCGGGCAGCTCCGCTTTCTCTTCTGAGGTGGACGCTCCGATTCATGGATCCGACCACGGCTGTGACGCTTTGCCGGAAGTTCGTGCCTTTCTTCGGCAATTTCCGTATATTCCTCGGGTATCGGCGATACCGCCTTCCGCTCTCCAGACATCATGCAGCGACCTCTAGCGGGATATTCTGGCACTACAGAACGAGGTCACATCTGAAATACAAAATATATCACGTCATTATCTATGCTGAAACTAGAAAGTATAAAATATTCAATATTACACGACTTCAAACTACAAAATCAAGATGTGAAGTGATGTGTAACGAGAGCGGCGTATCTTTGTATGAACCGATCTCACTAATGATTGACAAAAACCCGTTGGAATGATCATTAAAAGCAACTTGGATTTCGCCGTCTTCAAATACATCAGCATTAAAAATGTACACTGCGTAATGATCGTTGTATGATTAATGTGAATTATCTATGAAATAATGAGAAAGATATTATAAACGCTTTCTCGACAAAGTGTATTTCTCTGTTGATTCAGACTGGAAAATGCCACGTCACTTGTAACATTTAAATCAGAGCGTAATTTCACCTGAATGTCTGCTTGAAGTGACTTAAAGTTAATTGTGCCTTGAAATAGAGAAAAGCATTACTCACGCCTGTACATAACGCACCTAAAAACACGAATCGTGATCACGTTACGGACAGAGTGTATTGCATTGAGGCCAAATTGAATCAGGATGTGGTCTAGCGAAAACAAATTAAGACAAATCATACGTTCGTGATGTCTGTAGACGGTAAAAAATATGCGCCTTTGAGAATGTCACTCCACATACGCCGATGTTTAATTTGTGAAAGGTCAAAAACGGGAGTGCCACAATTAGATTTCAAACATAGTACCTGTATGTAGGTAGCAAGCGGTGGAACATTTCAGTTTCTGACTCAAGTTATATAACGGACAACGTTACGATTGAACGTGTTAGACCCCTTAAACGTGTTACCTTAAAATGTCTGAGGCCGAAACTAATTACTAGCCAATTACTCTCTTTGGTGAGTACTCTTTTGGCCGCAAGAATGACGTCACTTCCCATAGGATGTTGAGGTAACGCATAGGTCCCAGGTCCCAATCCACGAAGCGTTCGTAATGTTACGACCTATCGTAACTATGTAGTATATCATTAGCTAACGAATGACTTAAAGCTAGGAAAGCTTTGTGGATAGGGTCCCAACTTATCGTAACTGTATAGTTTGCCATAGGTTTATGAATGACGTAAAGCTAGGAACGCTTTGTGGATCGGGCTGCCGGTTATAAGAAAGCTCTTATTCTCATGGCTGAACCGTCTCTAAACTTTCCCTTGCACTATATCACGTTAGCAACTTTAACTTACATTTCGTTTTGGCGCCATGTTCTTACTTTCTGCACGCACCATTCAGATTGGAACATAGAGCGCGCCTCTATATACTTTGTTACGAAACCTGAGTCGCCTCAATATCTCATTTACTAAATATGCACCATGTTTACTTTCAGATTATAAATCTACTATGTCAAAAACTAAAATGTAATAAAAAATTAACCAACCCATCCCTAAACTATTGGTCTGAAGAAATCACGAGGAACCCGATTGTTGTTCACTGGCAAAACAGAAATGAGATAAAATACATACGATAACTGAGGATGCAGTCATGGAGCCAATGGAGTGTTCTGATAGAAAGAGGATCGTTGCAGTGTATCTGCTTGAAATCAAACTATTTTAACCACTTCACAGGGGTCTGTCGCGTTCAGTATGACGCAGGTGCGTCAGATGCTATATACGTCTAAATGTCATGTTTATATCACTTCGAACCACTGACACAAGGCACTGAAATATCCATGGTAACACAAATTATGTCGAGATGCTCTCAGCCAGGGAACATAAATCTTGAAATATCGAACGGATAACATTTCTTGAAATGCGTCACTGACTATATTTCGCTAAAACGTAAAATGATATTAAATGAAAAAGCCAGGTGGCAGCTCAACGTCAGGGTTTTATTGTATTGATCTCATTCAACTCCTGGGCCAAAGAAATATACACTTGAAAATTGGATTCGAAAAAATTATACACAAGCTATCAAACAGAAGTGCACGGTATTACCGGTATACCGGTATATGCAATACGCTTTTCAAACGATACATTAATAATATTTTTTCGGAGAACCGGTATATTGGGTAAAGAACATATATGAAGTTTTTGTGATTATCTTTTAAGTTTAAATCAAAATCTACACAGACTTTCATTCACAACAAATGTTTTCCTTCATTAATCAATGACAAAACGACATACTGTAATACTATATATTGAATAAAAAGAAAATAGAATCCCCGACTATGTAACCTAATTTTGAGATTGCTGTTATCAGAACCATAACACATATGTTTATGGACTTGTAATTTAGGAAATAGAATTGACATGCGCAATTGTGGTCACGTACACGTATTACATGTATATCCCAGAACATTATCTGTCGGAACCACCACTGATAGCTTTTACCAGTTTATTAACAACTAACAATGAATCCACCCTACGCAATCTAGCTCTGTATGTTAAATATGCATTTATTCGTCGTAACGAGCACTTACAGTTAACCATGTCTTAATGTATGTAGCTCCCTTGTATAAGGGCCGGTGGCCTAAAATACAATAAACGATTGTCTTGTCTTGTCTTGGTCACGTACTGTCAAAAACGTAAGTTCCCAATATATCGGAATACAGGTACCTGAATCGCAATAGTGCGATACAATTTATTTGCCAATACACAGCCCTACTATCAAAACGTTACTAGGCGGAAACACGTCGCCTAAACACTACAGTTTAAAACAATAGGTTGTGTGATACCAGTGCCATAAATACGTGTACACCATCATGGAAGAACCACTGCTTGTTTGTTTCCATCTGAGCCACCATGTAACATGACTGTGTGCTTTCTTTTGTCCGACAGTTTACAAACCAAATAAGACCTTGAATAATGAATGTTAATGCAATTTAATATGGAGCATCAGGAACATATACGAGTATCAAAACAGTTTAGAGACAAAAATGGGCGAAGAGCTCAGATCCTGTAGTGTTCTGTTTAACATTTACTTATGAACACGAGAAGAAAGTCTGCGAGTTGTCATTATTCGCACAGCGCAAGGAAATAATGACCAACAAAATCATTTCGAAGCATGTTGTAGCGGCATGAACTCCTTAACAAGCAAAAACATTAAAATGACTGCAATTCAAGGACTCATCTTGTTCTTGTCAACTTCCGTGTTTCAGGGGCCTATCCAACAAAGGAGCAATTCCGTCGAAAGGCGAAGCCAGAAATCATTAAATGGAACCAATAACACGATGCATTCTCTAAAAAGGTGTCTCCGTGACGCAAACTCATGAAAGTGACGCAAATGACTAGGTTCTCCTGGCCGCACTGTAGGGCGGATATTACAGATAACGCGACCCATAAAACAAGGACCGCATTGAGCTAGGCAGCTGCATCCAGTCTGTCAACAACTCCATGATTGTCCCACAGTAGAATCAATGGGAACAACCCCAGACGGAGCTGTTGGTCGCGTATGCGTGGCTGACATGTTGGTGGAGAAACTGTTCATAGTTGCGTCCCTTAGCAGAGCTAGGATGTTAAGGTCAAGCGTTCAAATAATGCAAAGATCCATGAACGTGCAAAATCTACCAATTTGGACAGTGGTGCTGTTTGGTATTTAATGAAGTCAATACTCTGCCATGAGCGGCCCGACTGTACAATACGACACAGTTGGTTGTGTAGGGTTACGTCCCTTGATCGTGTCATCATCCGAATCTTCCAGAATCGCCCTAGCTTTGTAAAATCCATTCCCAAGCTAGTTTCTGCAGAGGGTACTTATCTGGTTACGGTTTTCCCCTATCACAGTTTTCCCCTATCACACCCAAAACCTCGGTTTATCAGACGCTCAAACACCATTTCTTGATCCAATAAATGTATGTAATGTAATTTCACAATTTCTTTAATCGGTTAGCTTTCGTACATACAACATCAAATTTGATAGTTTCAAACAAAGACAGTGGAGGTTTGATAATAGCTGTTTTAGTGTGCTGCGTACGAACCGTAAGTATATCTCCATGGCAACTACTGGTTACCGGATGTTGTATTTGCTATCCACAAAGAGCAGTATCTGACATATTGACACTGGAACAACTCCAGCAGACATTAATATTTAGATGGTTATTAAGGAACTCTTTTTTAAATATGTCACTTCCTTCCTATCAGTAATCGATTTCTTTAATGACGTAGACGGCGCCATCTCAGCACGGGTATCAAAGGGAACGCAGTTTACGTTATGAGGAACATTTCTGACGAGAAACATTTTAAATTAGATAACATAAAAATATTGATCAAATAAGCATCTGAAAGCGGCACTGATAAAACTCATGATTGAGCAGTGTTTGTAGCCGGTTTGAACATGAAAAATATATTGGTTATAGTTGTATCCTCTAGTCTTCCGTCAGTTTCCTTCTCGACTTCTGAATCATTCAACCCGAAAGACTCGAGTCTGTATCATGTACTAAACAGCTTTCTCCTTCTGCTCGAGTCTGTATCCTTCTATTCGAATCCGTGTCCTTCTGCTCGACAATTAAATCCTTCTACTCAAATCTGTATTCATCTACTTAACAACCACATACTTCTACTCGATTCTGTAACCATCTACTTAACAACCACATAGTTATACTCGAGTCTGTATCCATCTACTTAACTATATCCTTATACTCGAGCCTGTATCCATCTACTCAACAACCATATCCTTATACTCGAATCTGTTTCCATCTACTGAACTATATCCTTATACTCGAGCCTGTATCCATCTACTCAACAACCATATCCTTATACTCGAATCTGTATCCATCTACTTAACTATATCCTTCTACTCGAGTATGTATCCATCTACTTAACTATATCCTAATACTCGATTCTGTATCCATCTACTCACCAACTATATCCTTCTGTATGCAGAATTAACAAATAGTATTTACATCAACGTGCAACCTTCCCAGTGGTCTTCTGGTCCATTACTTGATTGTCTGGTCAATATCCGAACAGAACATACAGAACCCCGTACAGACCGCCGTCGTGGACTGGCAGGGGTACTGGTGTTCCGGTTGAGGCAGCAAACGCTTACTTTGTACGAGGACTGTGGTT